AAAAAATTCAACCAGCCAAAATAAGCATTTTTATTTTTTTTTTTTTATGGTTTTTTTTTTTTTTTTTTTTTTTTTCAATATCATCACGCTGTGGGGCTTGAGGCGACCTTTGCTGGGTGAGACCTTAAAAAAAAAAAAAAAAAAAAAACATCACTCTTTCATGGTCTGCCCGTTCACCGTGAACGGCCGTTCACACAAAAAACACCAAATGAACGGCTGGTCACGTTCAAGTGACCAGTGCCATTCACGTTCAGGGTGACAGCACTGCCTCTAAGGGCCTCGCCACACCAATGTCGAAACTACAAGTCTGTGTGAAGAAAAAATGTCGAAAGCACTTCGACATCGTCAGAAAAGTGGTTTCAACATGGGTGTCGAACGGCCCGCCTGCAGCGGGTCGAGTTTCGACATCACGGAGACGAGGTGTTGAAGGATGTGTTGATTTCGACATCTATGCCTCAAGCTCCCATGTCTTCTTCTTTTTTTTTTTTTTTCTTCCTTTTTTTTTTTTTATTCCCCTTTTCTACAAACAAAACTCCGGTGTGACGGAGACGGCCATTGTGTCGAAACGGTGAATGTCGAAAATGGTCTGACAGTTGTCGAATATTTCACCGTTTCTACACTGGTGTGGCGAGGCCCTAAGGGGCTCGCCACACTACCTGTCGAAAGTGCAATTTTCGACAGCCCGAGTCGCCACACCACCTGTCGAACAAAAAAATGTCGACACATCTTCGACACCTGTCAGAAGTCGGTGTTCGACGGCTCCTTTCGAATTCAAGGTCTCGCCCACCTGCAACATAGGCATTTTCGACAGTCCACCGCCGACCTATAGAGTTCTCCTCGAAGATTGTTGAGCGGGACTGTGGTCGGGCTGGAGAAATGCTTGTCCTATACTCATGCGGGTTTGTCTCTTCTGCACTTGAATTCGCGAGCCCTTCACTTCGACAGTGCTGTGTGGCCGAGGGGGGGGGTTCTGTCGAAACTCTTCCTTTCGAGTTTTCGACGACAACTTTCAAAAAAATGCACTTTCGACAGCTGGTGTGGCGAGCCCCTAAGCCTGCAATTCATCCATTTGGTAGGAGCTTTTGGGCACGCACGAGTTTGGTGAGGTTTCCACCCGTCCAGACGGTTGGTCTGGACAGACGTTTTGTTCTTTTCCTTTGTCTTTAGTGGGCTTGTTGGTGCTTGTTGGGACACTGGTCCTTCCAAACACAAGTTTGGTGAGGTGGCGCGTCCAGGCCTGGGGGTGGTGAGGTGGTGAGGTGGTGCAGCGACGCCCTTAGCCCCATTACATACAGACATCAGAAGGGGAGACAGATGATAAAAAAAATAATAAATTGGGATAATATGCAAAATACCCTCGTTAGTTGAGATACGTGCCAAAATACCCCTAAAGACGTGGGTGGAGCAGATTGCCCATCTTATAAAAAAACCTATTTTGTGAAATACCCCTGGCATCGGCTGGACCCCCATCTTCACAATATGCCCCTACCGGTCCAACTATGCAAAATGCCCCGGTACTTGCCCACTTTTCCTAGGCCCTATTGCAAAAGGCCAAGGCCCGAACGGGGAGATCCAGATTGGAGATTCGCACACCCGCCTGACAGGGACATAACACAAAGATTTTTGCCCAAAAGGGCATTCTGCTCTACCCACATCTTTCAGGGGTATTTTGGCATTTATCTCAACTTATGGGGTTATTTCACCAATTATCCCTAATAATAATAGTTCAATAAACAAAAAATACATAAAATAAGAGTAGAAAGGCGAAAGCCAGAGGAGAGTTTCACCCAAAAAACAAAAAAAAAAGCCAGAGGAGAAAGCTGCAACGACAACAACAACAAAGAAGAGAGGCCGCGACAAAACCCTGACCTTTTTATTAAAATAAAATTATAATTAACAAACGACAACAAGGAGACGAACACTGACCTTGTCTATGAAGAACCGCTTGCCGTCAGCGACGATATGGACGGGAATCTGGCCCCAGCGCAATCCTTTGGTGCTATTGTTGAGAAGGTACATATTGGTTACTTCTTGCTCGGTCATGGAATGTGGATCGAACTTGGTCATGTTCAGGATCTTGCGATAGATCTGCTTGTGCTGCCATATGACTTTACTCCACAAGGAGATGGTCAAGTCCGTGGCTCTGAAGAAGATGAACCCCCCAGAGATCTTTTTCTCCTTATGTTTGGCCCCCTGAATGTCGAGTGAGGGGTCGAAAAATGGGAAAGGGTTCCGGAGGAAGAGCACGTCAAGGTCGCACAGCAGGACGCTGTAGTTTTTCCGCAGGATCTTGTTAATGAAACAAGTCCGGGAGTACATCAACGCCTGATACTCCACAGTGCCGTAGTCGATGGGGCCTTCTTTGCGATAAGTCTCGCTGGACTTCTCGAAAGCATCCTCTTGGTACAAGAAGGACGGGAGGCCCCTCTCTCGCAGGCTATCGTGCACGTCAGGCTCGGCTGCATGGAGCAGGAAATTGGTAAGGTTCACCCTCTGCAAGAAGCAGACCCAATTGAGAGCGAAGTCGAGATAGCCGGCGGTCACGGTGGCGATGATGATGGTGTCGTTGCGAGCTTGCCTCATAAGGAGCACGTCCAGCGACTGGTCGTTGCGTTCCAGCCAGCAGTTGGGGCAGGTCGGTCGGCCATGCTCAGCAGACAAAGAGGTGTAGGAGGAGGAGGAGGAGGAGGAAGAAGAAGAAGAAGAAGTGAACAAGGAGGAGGAGGACGAGGAGGAGAGATGGTGGTGACCGACATTACCCCATGGTTTGAACCAGGCAGAGACATCAACTGCGGAAACCTGTCCTCCTCCTGCTGCTGCTGCATCGCCTCCCCCTCCACCACCGACATAGGGCACAATTTTGCCAGCCACTGTGCCGACCAGACGGAAGTCTACGTCAGCGAGAGTACCTGTCAATTTGGGGTCCCTCTTGAACGCCCCTACAGTCAGGCGTGTGTTGTGATCCGTCCCTTCTCTCAGGTGACTCCCTCCCACCTTCATGTGATTTTGGTGGACGGCGAAGATCACTTCCGTGCAATCTATGGACACGGCCGCCGGATGGCCATTGAAATACGCCACTATCCAGTTATCCCACCTTATCCGCCCGACAAGAAAAGGTGGAATCTTCGGGAACTTATTCCTTGCATACACAAAATAGTCCATGCCTAATGGACCGTGAGGTCGGCCATGTTTACGAACATATCCTACGAACCTGCTGCCCCATCGTGGATCGCCGAAGTCGATCACGAAAGGGTAACCGACATCCGTTCTCTCGCCGATCATCAGGAAAGCACCCACATCTCCACCATCACGACCTACCCCAATTCCTCCTCCTCCTCCTCCTCCTCCTGCTGCCGCTCTTCCTCCTCGTACCCCATCTGCTACGCCATTGCCTTCGGTGGTGAGGGGGACACCACCGCCATCGCTGGAGACTAGAGCCATATGACCCACCACTGAGTCCAGGGCGGTCAAGAGATCGTGGAAGTAGATCATATCGGAGTTGCTGTACATAATGTACGGCGTGGTAGATTCCCTCTCAGCTGTCTCGTACAGACAATCATAAGAAGGAACGTCGTATTCCGGTGAGATGCAGGGGATGTCCAGGCACTGCAGACGAGCTTGGACATCTTCTTGTTCTTGTTCGCCCCCGTCGTCTTCTACTTCACCTGCAGCTGCGGCGGGATCGGCACCTGCCCCATGCTGGACGTCCTCGCTGGAGTGTTTCTTGGAGAGCCGTCGAAGAGCTGGTCTAACCTCTCGGTTGACGAAAGCACACACGTCGGGCCGACCGAACAAGATGACCCGCACTCCAGGACCGAGCGCGATCCAGCTCAAGATGGAGTTGTACGTGCCGATGGTTTCCAGCCAAGCCCTAGCGTCCGCTTGCCCGGAGGAGGTAAGAGTGGCGTTCACGAGATCGCGAAGAACGGTCCAGATTGTCAAAGTGGGCTCCAGACGACGCGTGCTAAGCGTCGATCTGGAAGGGCGGGTGCCCTCGCCTCGTCCGCCTGATCGGCCCAGGACGCCATAGCCGCCGCACTGGCCGTTGATGCATTTCAATGAAGAAGAAGAGAACTTGGCTAACGAAGACAGAGAAGAAGACAAGGAGAAAACAGAGGACAACGAGGAGGAAGAAGAAGAAGAGTTTTCAGAGCGCAATGAGTGCGCTTGATCGACTGCGACTCCGGCTTCTCCTCGTCCTCCAGCTGCTCCTGCTGCGGCGGCGGCGGCTGTCCCTCCCCCTCCTCCCCCTTGTACGGAAACCTCCAGCAGCCCTTGGGAGGGCTGTCGGGTTTGGTAACCTCCAAGGCTAGGGGCGTGAGATACGCTCAAGTAGAAATTAGCCACGCTCAAGCACGCAAGAATGGCAATGATCATCGTCGGACTAGAACGCCATCCTGGGACAGGCGGCTGTCTCCCTGTCGGAGATGGGTACCACGATCCGCTGCCGCCGCCGTTCGCCATCTTCGTCGAGCAGGAAAGCCCCGACTGCTTCATCTCTCTCTCTCTCTCTCTCTCTCTCTCTCTCTCTCTCTCTCTCTCTCTCTCTCACGCGCCCACACACACACACACACGCCGCACGTGCCTTCCGCTGCTCTCGCCCTCTTTCCCTCTCCGATCGTACAGACTGGTAAAGTAGTCGATGGAGAGGAGACAAGAAAGGGCATTCGATTGCGTATCAGGAGTGTGTGACACGTGGAACAACGTGAGAGATGTGATCTGGTCTGCGGTTACCGGCTAAGATGCCGGCTGGCACACAATTGAATGATCGAGCAATCGAGCCGGTTGAGCCCGTGCCGATGGAATGGCGTACAAAGTCGGCCAATAAGAGGGGAGAAGGGGAGAAGGGGAGGGGTTCGATTGCTTTTATCCGATCATGCAAGGGGGTAGGGATCGCATCCGATTTGATCGCATAACACTGCTTCTGACTACTGATCATTATCTTTTCTGTCTCCCCTAAGCTAGTCAGCAGGACGTAGCACGACGACGACAACGTCCAAAAGGACTTACCAAACGACGTGCAGTGCTAGTTGCACCACGACGGCCAGGCCAAACATTACCGATGGCACTGTACATGTACTGCTAACCTGCGACGCCTACGTTACGTACTTATTGAGTAGATGTCATGCCAAGCAAGCACTGAAGAACACGTGGGCCGCGGGCGGCGTTTTCATTTGAGTACGTAGAATATGCAAAAGGGTACAAGAAATCATTCAATGTGATAGAATTACGCTTTCGGACGGAACTTGGCCACTGCCTGTCACTCATCTATTACATGCAAACAAGCACTGAAGATGACAACGTGCTCAAAACGAGCAATGTCGTTCACACTAAATCGATGTCAATGTGCTAATTAATTCATTCATCTATGTCGAGGCCAAGCACTAGCGATGCCAACGTAGTTTCGAGTACAAAGCTGAGAAGCCCACGTTACGCACTCATTGTCGTGCCCCCAAGCACTAGAGATGACAGCGTACTCGATATACAAGTCGCTCCACTTACTAAACCATCAAATGCTGATAGCTGCCGCCTGCATGGACTAATCAAGTCCAACTACTACTCACGGTTCTACTGAGAAGCCAGAGAGAGAGTGGGCAACTTACAGTATGCACTGGCGAAAGGCCATGCTATGTGCCAAGAAGCCAGCACACTTGCATGTAGTACGTTGGCCAACGAAGCAAGAAATGCGTCGGCGACGCTAAGTGCTCAGATGCCCGCGTACTGACGTGTGTTGCACACACTATCTAACCAAGAAAGCCTCGGATGTGCTGCGTTGGTCCGTTGGTGTGCTTGCGAGTAGTTCACCGCGGGCTCAAAAAGAATGATAAAGGAACAAAGAAAAGGCGTAGTACAGCAATGAACAAAGCGCAAAATGCCGCCCAGGAGAGTAGAGAACAATAGGCGAAACAATTACTCAATCAGGGATAGAATGCCCAGACGGGAGTACTCCTTCACTCCTTGAGAGGGAACGCTAGCAGTTAAGTAGCTCGGGCGCAGCGGTATGTGGTTGTGAAAGGACTGAAGAAGCGGGAAAGAAGAGAAGCGGAGGGGGCAGGAAATAAGGAAGGAACGCACAGAACAAAGTTTTCGAAGAGGCAAAGGAGGAGGAGGAGGAGGAAAAGGAATGAGGGAAAAAGAAGAAATGAACGACGAGAGGAGGA